GAATATTTGCTACTACCACCGAGATCTGCACCCGCGGTCGGCTCCACCGGGCTCAAAGGCTTCCGTGCTCACCGCGGCGCCCTCCTACTCGTCGCGGCATCGGTCAGGCGCGCGCATCGTTTTCGTCAGCGCAAGCGCTCCTCGAAAACGGTCCGGCATCGGTCCGTCGCTCCAGCGCCATCCATTTTCGGGGCCGGTCGATTCGGCAGGTGAGTTGTTATGGGCGAAAGCAAAACCCGGGCAACAACCAAATCGAGTTTGGGCCACGTTCGGCAGCACCGGACTGAGTCCCCCCGCGATCGCGGTGAGCGGTCCCACCCCGTTTACCCCTGGGCGGTTTCACGTTCTCTTGAACTCTCTCTCCAAAGTTCTTTTCAACTTTCCCTCACGGTACTTGTCGACTATCGGACTCGTCCCGGTATTTAGCCTTGGAGACCCAATTTGGGCTGCGTTCCCAAAAAATTTTCGGATCCGAAGGCCGACGCTCGCCGTGAATGGGCCTGGCACCCGCCGCGGGCGGCCCTGATCGAGGGAACTCGAACTACGCGAGACAAAAAAGCGGCTGCCTCCGACCCATGCGCCACATGTCTTTTACTTGCGACGGGATTCGGCGTTGGGCTTCTTTTTCACTCGCCGTTACTAAGGGAATCCCGGTTGGTTTTTTCCTCCGCTTATCGATATGCTGCTTAAGTTCAGCGGGTCGTCTCGTCGAGCCGAGGGCGGCGGTGTTTGAGTAAGACAGCAAAACGCGACCACGCACAGTGACGGCAGAATACGGCGGCGGCGGCACAGACTGGCTTCGAGACGCCCAAGGTTTGTATTTCGACCTCCGAGAGCGAAACGATGGTGCTACCACTGTTGCTGTTTGCGCGTGGCCGTAGTCAACGTTTTGCAATCTAGACTGCTCGCGGTCGTAAAAGCGACCGCGGTCTTCAAGCGGGGAGACGAGGAACCCTTGAAGCAGCAGGCTCCTCCTGCGACGTCCGGTTTCCTCCGCGTAAAAACGGGCAATTCTTTCATGAAGAAAGAACGACGCGGTGGACGGTGAGATGCCTCTCGACTATCAAGTGAGAAGACATGCTATTTTCCGCCTCTCGACCGGAAGACAAGGGATCTCGAGGCCGCAATGTGCGTTCGAGGTGTCGATGTTCACTGAGTCCTGCAATTCGCATCAGTTCTCGCGGCTGGCGCGCTCTCTTCATCGACGGACGAGCCGAGTGATCCCCCGTCCAGGGTTTTGTTTTGGTTAAGTTTTTTTTTTTCGTGACAGGTTTAAAAAAATGTGTGCGAGGGAAGCAAGGAGGCCGAGTTGATACGCGCGCGACCGAGACGGTAGCAGTCCACAGCAGACTGGCACCCCGGCAACCACCACAAATTTGTCGGGGACATAGACGGCGGCCAGGACCGTACACGTGACCACTCTCTCTAATCCTGCTGTTCTTTTTCTTTTCTTAAATATTGGAAATAATAGCAAATAGCGTAAATTAATAGTATCCTAGTAATGACATCAAAATCCCTTTTTTCTTTCTGGGAAACAACTTTTTTAGACAAAGCGTGCTGCCATCAATTTGGTGACAGAGATCAGCCTAACAGAGAAAGATTTGAATTATCTATTTAAGGGAAGCACATTTCTCGTTGGGATTTCTACGAATCTATATCTGCTAGATTTTGTATGAGAAAACCATTTCTTATCTCATGTTATTTCTTATTACTATAATCGTTATTTTTACTAGGTACACCTGATTGAGCTGATATATATTGATATGTCCCAGAAAGGGATATATTTGTTCGCAGTAGCAAAGTGGTTTTGGACTACTGTAACCGAGTAGGACAATCTAGCAGGTAACCGTAATGGACTGGTCCACGTCGTAGTGGTAGGCAATAGGCGAAAATAATAGGCGTAGGCAATAGGCGTCGTCCCTGTACTTCTACATCAGTCTGCATTTATGGCTGACACCAGCCAGTCATATTACTGTGAGGAGGAACCCAGTTGTATGTATATTCATTACATCATATATATATATATATATATATATATATATATATCTGAAGATCGCTCGATACATGAAACTGAGTCATTATGCACACTCGATTCCTATGTCCACACGTAAAATATATATGTTAGAAAAATATAAACATTAAAACCGTGTTGCGCTTATAGCCCATGTTGTGAATTTGTGCTTCTCTTGAAAATCATTTTAAAAATCCTGGCTGATACCCATAGGTTTCAAGGGTGGCTAGGAAGAATTGCTTAGTGAATCGAATCGGTCGATATATTTAGTTACATTTTTCTGTTTGCCATTTAGAAAAAATCTCTAGAGAATCTGTAGAATGGATCAGCCGAAACGTTCTGGTAACAGCATATTAGTAAAAAATTATTTTGTTTTTTTATGGAAATAGTATACAATCTTGTGATATTACGTGATTCTTGCACGTGTTTGTATATGCGTATTCGCATTTCATTTTAAACTTCGGATGGTCACTGACACCACTCAAGATTCTTGTCGCACCAAATCACGATTGCCAAATCAGATTACGAGGAACGAATTGGACAGCATTTAAAAGCCCAGCGCTGCTAAATTTGGAATTGACTTTCATCGAATTTGTTGCCTGTCTTATCTTAAAAGTAGTTCCAAATGTTACTAATAGCGAATTGCAAAATTTAGTAGAGCGAGACTTTCAAAAGTAGCTCAATCTTGCAAACGTGCACCACATGATGAAGGAAGCGACTGTAAGTAGCTTGTGTTATTGTTATATATGTTATTCTTTGAGATGATATTTTATAATGCAATTCAGTGTTTTCAGGAGAAAATTATCATTCAAAAACATATTCTAGTAAACCCTTTCGGAATATACCTATATCTGAATGAGAAATAGTGTGTGTTTCAGCTTAAAATATCTATACTTATTAAAATTATTGATAATATATTTTATGGACGTTGTTAAGTTTTATCGTGGTAACAAAATGCAATATAAACGTTAATTTATTAATAAATTCAACAGATATAGGCCCTTGAAACCTTTATTTAAAACCATAAAATACAACTGAATAAATAATTATTTTATTTGTTAATATAAGTCGTTTCGAATTATTTAAATTTCATCAGTCATTCTATAGTTTCGACCTTGACATTACAGACAACAGTTTTTATTCCTTTAAATACAGTTTTCCATTTTCATATACATATCTCTTAATGATGGACCACACATTTTCTTTTGCCTGGCGAGATTCCTGGGGGCTATTAATTTGGTAAGTTTGAAGGCAAACTATCGACAGGTTCATAGAATGTGAATAGGAAGGATTATTTTTTATCTTTGAATATAAACTTTAGCGTAAAGAATGTTTGTTGTGGGATGTGACGTTCAAAACCACGTTGTCCAATAACTTAGAAGAATTCTCTACATTTATCTTGATATCATCATCAACTTTGAAGGGACTTTTCATTTTACTGCCTACAAAACTAGCCCCAAACATTCGTCCACCTGCCCCTATTGTCTTAAGAGTTATAATTCCTGTCTGTTGACTATGCCCATGACGGTACCGATATCCTACCAATCTTTATTGGTATTATTTGTGATACATATATATATTTTATATATTTGTGATATATATATATATATGTATATATATATGTATATATATATATATGTATATATATGTGTGTATACATATATATGTATGAAAATTTCTCCGATTTAATCGGTAGAAGACAATATTTATGAATAAAAATGACAATAGGAAAACTGGTAATTGCTGACGCGTTTCGTCCAATGTGGACTTTATCAAAGCAAAATACGAGAATGAAATTAAATGAACAAAGTAACTAATAAAAACAAAAACAGAATGTACCTAGCAACTGGAATGTGAGAAACGCTATTTTCATATTTTTTAACTGAAAAATAACGTCAGAGATTGTCACGTGTGGAGAATATTGTCATGATATCTGTGTTGATGTATTCAGCCATTTTCTTTCGATTTTATGAATCTGTTGTGCATATTTGTTTGTAGGAGTATTAATTTTTTTAAGAAAAGGTGAAATAGGGAAAAAAGCCTGGGCGTAAATTAATATTTGGATAATTTTCTATGGCGGCACTCCCAAATTTTCCTTCTGAGTGAGTTATTTTCTTTTTTATGAGTGTAGCATTTTTAAAATCAAAATTATGGTTGTATTTATTTCTATGTATGACTATTGCATTAGCTAAGTTGTTTTTTTGTGAGGTCTCTTTTGTGCTCATAAATGCGTTTTTTCAAACTTCTACTTGTTTCTCCAATATATTGGGAGGAGCAGTTTTGGCAATTTATTTTATAAATGCCTGCTTCAGAAATATTAGTGCTATTATTGTTTGAAGATCTTAGTATATCTATAATGGTTTTGGAAGTGTTTGTGACTATTTCAAGATTATTTAGATGGGATAGGTTATTCTGGATCGTGGACGTGGCAGAATTGGTCGGTAGTATTATGTATCTGTTTTCATGTGATTTACTGTTGCGGATTGTGTTATTAGTTTTGTTTCGTTTGTATATTTTGTATGCCTTTCTTCTTGCATTGTGGATGAAATGATATGGGTATTGTAGGTTTTTGAATGTTTTCTATGTAGGTTTCTTCTTTAAATAAGTATTGAGGACTACAGATTCTTAATGCTCTTAGATAGAAACCTATAATAATTCCAGATTTAATTTTTGAAGGGTGGTTTGAGTAGAAGCTGAGGAGATCATTTTTGTTTGTAGCCTTTCTGTAAACGTCAAAATTGAGTTCGTTGTTATTTCTAATTAACAAAATGTCCAGGAACGGAAGAGTGTAGTTGGTTTCAGTTTCGAGAGTGAAGTTTATTGTAGGTTCAATGTTGTTAAGTTTGGAGAGAAGATCCGTTAAATTGGTGTTTTTGGAATTATTAATAACGAGTCGTCTATGTATCTGAAATATGAAGAGTTTGTAGGGAGAATATTTTTGAATGAGTCACTTTCTAGAAATTCTAAAAATAGACATGAAAGAACGCCGCTGAGAGGAGATCCCATTGGCAAACCAAATTTCTGTCTGTAATGTTGGTTTTTAAAAGTAAAAAGCATAGCTTGGTAATTAGTTGGCACAGTTTTATAATTTTGTGTGTAGATATAGGTAATTGGATTTTTGCATTTGTTAGGTGTTTTTTAAGTAAATTTAAGCATTTATCTATGGGGACGTTTGTATAAAGAGATTGTATATCTAAACTAGTCATATATTTGTTTTCAATGTCTATGTCTTAAACAAGCTAAAAAACATAGACATTGAAAACAAATATATGACTATATATATATATGACACTCTTCCGTTTCTGGTCATTTTGTTAATTAGAAATAACAACGAACTCAATTTTGACATTTACAGAAAGGCTACAAACAAAAATGATCTCATCAGCTTCTACTCAAACCACCCTTCAAAAATTAAATCTGGAATTATTATAGGTTTCTATCTAAGAGCATTAAGAGTCTGTAGTCCTCAATACTTATTTAAAGAAGAAACCTACATAGAAAACACATTCAAAAACCTACAATACCCATATCATTTCATCCACAATGCAAGAAGAAAGGCATACAAAATATACAAACGAAACAAAACTAATAACACAATCCGCAACAGTAAATCACATGAAAACAGATACGTAATACTACCGACCAATTCTGCCACGTCCACGATCCAGAATAACCTATCCCATCTAAATAATCTTGAAATAGTCACAAACACTTCCAAAACCATTATAGATATACTAAGATCTTCAAACAATAATAGCACTAATATTTCTGAAGCAGGCATTTATAAAATAAATTGCCAAAACTGCTTCTCCCAATATATTGGAGAAACAAGTAGAAGTTTGAAAAACGCATTTATGAGCACAAAAGACCTCACAAAAAATAACTTAGCTAATGCAATAGTCATACATAGAAATTAATACAACCATAATTTTGATTTTAAAAATGCTACACTCATATAAAAAAGAAAATAACTCACTCAGAAGGAAAATTCTGGGAGTGCCGCCATAGAAAATTATCCAAATATTAATTTACGCCCAGGCTTTTTCCCTATTTCACCTTTCTTAACAAATTTAATACTCCTACAAACAAATATGCACAACAGATTCATAAAATCGAAAGAAAATGGCTGAATACATCAACACAGATATAATGACAATATTCTCCACACGTGACAATCTCTGACGTTATTTTTCAGTTAAAAAATATGAAAATAGCGTTTCTCTACATTCCAGTTGTTAGGTACATTCTGTTTTTGTTTTTTATTAGTTACTTTGTTCATTTAATTTCATTTTCGTATTTTTTGCTTTGATAAAGTCCACATTGGACGAAACGTCAGCAATTACCAGATTTTCCTATTGTCATTTTTATTCATAAATATATATATATATATATATATATATATATATATATATATATATATATATATATGTATATATATTCATACATGTTTCATTAAATAATATAGACAAGTGTTGTCTATTTCTTTTATGTAAATTCTTTCCATAACGTCTGATAAGCTTAATAGCATTATCATTAAACGAAGAAAGAAAATCACAATATTGATACATATTTTTTAATCCAATCTAAGCTTTCGGCTTACATAAGCCATTATCAAAGATGACAATTATTGTACAATATATTAAGCAATACACGGACAAGAATGTGATGATAGTTTGTTTCTGTTTACATGGATGATTTCCAAGCAACAATAAACACGTGAATATAAGACGCTGGAAGCGAAAATCGCACTGCAGCTCATAACGTGACCACGCGAGAGTGAATTCGAGAAGTATTACGTATGGGAAGCCGTTGGTATAAACCAATGGCTTCTGTTACCAATTATAAACATTTAACGGTATTCGTGGAGATTTCATAGTTTATTTTGTTTAGGTTAGGTTTCAATTGTTTTATGTATATAGCTTCAAGAATTTTTAGTTTTTGTTTATTGTTTTCATGTTTAAGTATAGTTGTGTTTTCAACAAGGATTTTCCGGAATTGCGTACGCAACCAGGCATGTTGTTTTAAATGCCTAAAAATGTTAGCGTTATCATTCAAATGTAGAGTCAAGCGACGTGAAAGCGAGTTTGTGGTGTGACCAACATAAATATTATTTAATTCGTTGGAGATACAATCTCCAAAAGGGCACTTGAATTTGTAAACTCTGTTGTTTTTTTGTAAATCGCTAACAGGGGGAGAAGAATCATTGCAAAGAATTAAGTTGGATATTCTAGATTTGGTGTAGTATATGATTAATTTAATTTTTTTGCTAGGATCTTTCACGACGCTTGACACTACATTGTCCTCATCTTTGTCGCCATATTTATTACAACGTTTCGGCCGTTGTACGCTCCGGCCTTCTCCATAATAATGTAAATAATGTACATAACACCTCATCTTAGAAATATAGACAGTTATTTCAGTGTATTAACCAAAAGGGACTTTAAACACTTTTGTTTTCATCTTTTGTTTTTAGGCTCACCGTACAATTACGTACGTCAGCATTGCTTTCAACCTTCTCAGCGTGTTGCTACTTGTGCCAGCGAGTTTGATCTTTCTCTCTTACAGGTGAGTATATTGCTTTACCGATTCGTTTGAATATGTAGAATTCTTTTTATTGGCTTTCACCAAAAGCTTAAAGCAAATGGCTGTATAGATAACTTAATCTTGGTATAAATGGAAGACTCGAAAATATGATAAAAATAAGATAAATCGCTATATATATATATATATATATATATATATATATATATATATATATATATATATATATATTATAATTTTATCATATAGACAAAACCATTTTACTCACTACAAAGATGCAACTTCGTTTCCGTGCATTTCAACTGCACTTCGACGGGTGAGAATCGAAAATGGTTATGTACAATCCTGCTTGTAGGCAAGCCGAATGTGAAACGTCACTTCCTTTTTTGCATTTGTTTGAGAAAAAAATATATATATGTGACGGAGTGAAACAACAGTGCTTGTTGGTAGCAGTTTGGTGATGAATGGATTGGGTGTTTAATGTTGACTGGTCTGTGGAAATTTTCCTGCTGATAAACACCGGTCAAATATTTAGGCACATCATCTCACAAGCGTCTTAAGAGTGAGAGGTAGGGGAGGAAAGATGGAGATAGGGGATAGTATTACGTTTAAGTAGGTAAAAATTGTAGCAATAGTTCTAGTAGTAATTGGGAATGTTATTTTTGATTTACTATAAAAATTTTAGAGCTGACTTGTATGTATTTATGTTGGGGTTATCACTACTAATTCTGTAGTCAATGAGCGTGTTTTGTGGATTAAAATTTAGAAGTGGTGATTTCCTCTAAAAAAAAAATAAGGGATGCTAATATAACCTTTTATAATCAAATTTTGAAATATTCCTGGACCGTATAGCGTGTAGAATAAGTATGGGTGTAAAACGATTTATCTGAAAATATTACCAGTAATATATATATATATATATATATATATATATATATATAAAATATTTAAGAATCCTAATTTAATTAGTGGAGAGGTACATAAGAGGGAAGAGAATATATCGAAGGAAGTGATATATAATTTTAAAACGCTTATCGCTTTTAAAATGAGATTTTTTTTTTACCAAACATCAGAATATAGTTGCTACTCAATCCCCGATCATTCTAAGCTGAAATCAGTTATGCTTTCTAACTGTGAAACTTACACAATACTATTAAGTATCGAAGAAAAGAAAGAGAGAGAGAGAGAAAAAGAAGATATGACAGAGGAACGATATAAGGCAAGAAAACTAAGAAAAAGATCGAAAGAAAAAAGAGGGGAAAATACAACTCAATATATAGACAGACACCAACAAGATATAGAGTTTCCTTTCAGAAATCGGCATCCATTACAAAATTTAAAAAAAATACTTTTTATAACTTAACCCATTATCATGGTTAAGCTCTGTCAAATTACTTGCAAGAGCCTCTAAGGCCGGAATATCAGAATATCTATCTATATATCGAAGTGTGATTATCAAGCTATCTGATTGTCAAGGTGTAAATATTAACATATATATCTTTATATCGAAGTATGAATAAGAAGCTATCTATCTAGTTATCAAAGCCCGGATATCTATTATTGGCATTAAATAACCCAACGAGGTTGATATACCTTAAAACACAAACAAACATCAATACAGAGAAAGTTAATGGTTGGTGATGAAAAATGAGTTTGTAGATCAAGAGCAATTCAGTGATTAATTTTTGTAGATTTACTACCATCAAAATGTAAGAGAGCCTAGGTTCCTATACTATTTAACCTATAGCAGGAGTAAAGTGTGTTCATAACTTTTCCATTGTCATTAGTGTGAATTAAATGGTATAAATTAAGTTAGAATTTCAACTCGGTACGATGTCAACACAGATGACCTTTATGTTATACGCATAGATAATTTAAAACTGACAGAGAGAGAAAGAGACAGACAGACAAAGACAGAAATGCGAACGTGATTATTTATAACCGTTTCCAGTAGAAAATAAAGTAAGAGTCATCCTATTTTTGTAACCATCGAAGAGTTTTATTTAACTGAGAGATGAACGTACAAAAGTAAACATTTATTTGGATTCCCTACAGAGATGTTAAATCAAAGCGTAGAGGAAGCCATCAAAGAAAATACTAAATCTTCACTGCATTCCTTATAAGAAGTCGACAACAGTCACCGGATGTTACAGAGCGCTGACGTGTGTGTATTAGGAATAAGAAATATCGACTTATTTAGTGCTTTTAGCGAAACTCTTTGAGTCGGAACTGTGGAAAAGTCTGCGTCGAAGGGGTCAATATTGCATATTTCTGGACACAAAATTTAACAAATTTGGCAGAAAAATGTAAGTAAAGAACATTTTCAAAGCATACAAATGTCTGTCTATTACAACATCACGTACATATTTAATAATTATATACAGGATGTGCATGGAATTTATATAATATATATATATATATATATATATATATATATATATATTAGGTTGGTGCAAAAATAATGACGTAATAATGTCGTTTTTTTACGTATTTTTAACGTCAAAAACGACATTATTACGTCATTATTTTTGCACCAATCTAATATATATATATATATATATATATATATATATATATATATGGTGATCGCGGTACTGCAGCCGCATTAAAAGTGGTGTTTCTCAGGCAAGATAGCCTGACAAAGTCCAACCTTTTCCAGGCCTGAAAGAGAAATTCACAGTTAACTTCTTTTAGACCGGTTGCCACCTAATATATATATATATATATATATATATATATATATATATATATATAATTCTGATATTCCGAAAATAGTTCTCTCACAAGACGCTATTTGGAGCACTATCGAAGATTTCACGTATGCACCGGACGAAGACAAAACCTTTGCAACTTCCTTCCGAAGGTACGAAGATCTATATGAATTTGACTGCAGAAATTGGTCAGACCCAAGAAAAGTACGACTACTACTAAGAAAATTAGGCACATGCGAATATACCAAATTCGTAGATTATATGCTACCGATGAAAACAAATAAGTTAACTTTCAAAGAATCCATAACACTGTTAACAGAACTTTTCAGCCCTAATACCTCACTATTCCACAAAAGATGTAAATGTCTGAATCTAACAAAAAAGGAGAGCGAAGATTACATAACTTTCGCTTCCTACAATGGAAGTAATATATATATATATATATTGTGATATAAATATTGTGATGATTTCAAGTTATGGAAACTCAGCCCGGACAATTTCAAATGTTTAATATACGTCCAAGGCCTGGTTTCAACCAAAGACGCAGAATCCTTACTAAATTGGAGGGTGAACAAGATTTAACACTTCAAAAACTGGTCGAAGACTGTCAGAGATGCATAAGTGTAAAGAAAGACTCAAAAGATATAGAAGAAGCTGGCATCGCGCACATACGTAAAGTACGAAGACAAACCAACTTTCCCTCCTCACAAACAAACCAAACCAATTTTCCCTCCTCAAAAACAGGTCAAACAAATTTTTCTACTTCAAAATGTCAATATCAGAAAAAACTACCACCCAGTCTATGCTATCGCTGTGGGACTTGGCATTGGTATCAAGACTGTCCATACCGTTTTAAAACTTGTCTATGATGCAAAAAAGTAGGACATAAAAGTTCTCATTGTTGGACTAGAAGAGAAAGCAAAAGCAGAATAATAATCACGAGGACTGACCAAGCGGATGAGACTAACATAAGAAAATATGTGCAAGTAGAAATGCAAAACAGAAAAGTCAGACTACAGTTGGATTCCGGGTTGGACTTCACTATTATTAACGTACAAACATAGAGAAAACTGAACAAACTTACTATGTTAAGAACCGATAAAATTGCTAGATCGGTAACTGGGAGAAAAATAAAATTTGACGGTGAAGTGATTACAAATGTGACATTCAATGGAATGACCAAAAAATTGAAAATGTATGTGCTAAGAAATACAGAAAACTTATTCAGTACGGACTGGATGCAAAAATTCGAACTTTGGGATTTACCAATAAGTACGTACTGCCAAAATGTAAAAAGTTTATCGACCGAGGCAAATAAATTAAAAGAGAAACTAAAAGAGAATTTCCCCGAAGTATTTTCAGTAGGTGTCGGAAGATGTAAGAAAATGGCAGCAAATATAGAAATAAAAGAAAAAGTTCAAACTATCTTCAAGGAAAAAAGAAGTGTACCGTTTGCTTCAATAGAAAAAATAAATCAAGAATTGGCTAGACTCAAAAAAAACGGCATATTGTCAAAAGTAGAATACAGTCAATGGGCTGCACCCACGGTTTACGTAAAAAAAAAAAAATCAGGGGAGATTCGAGTATGCGCTGATTTCTCAACGGGTTTGAACGCAGCGATGAAAGACTATCACTAGCCTCTACCCAGTCCAGAAGAAGTATTCACAAAATTAAACGGCGGAAAATTTTTTTCAAAAATAGATTTAAGCGATGCGTACCTACAAATCCCAGTCGATGAGAAAAGTTCAAAATTACTGTGCATAAACACACACAAAGGATTATACAGATACCAAAGATTACCATTTGGGATTAAGGTCGCGCTGGCTATATTCCAACAGACAATGGATACTTTGCTCGCCGGACTAGAGTACACGATTGCATACCTGGATGACGTATTGATAAATAGCGAAAGTGTTGACCAACACAGGAATCACGTACGAGAGGTGTTCAGGAGAATACAAAGCTATGGGTTTAAGGTAAAAGAAAACAAGTGCGATTTTTTTATGAAGGAAATAAAATACCTGGGCCATATCATCGATCAAGAAGGAAGACGACCAGACCCTGAAAGAACAACGGCAATAAAAAAAAATCTGCTAAAAAAAGAAAAAGGTTGGGAGTGGACAGATAAAAAGCAAGAAAACGTTTGACAAAATAATTTAGACATTAATTTTGGATTTAGTTTTGGCACACTACGACCCAAAATTAGAAATAATAGTAGCAAGTGACGCGAGCGCCTATGGAGTCGGGGCGTGTATACTGCATAAAATGCCGGATGGGACAATAAAACCCATCGCGCATGCTTCAAGAACCCAA